CCTTTCACACTTTATGTGTAGATGAAAGCAATAAGCAAATTAATAGATTCTTACTAACAAACTGACCCTGTAGTGAGACAGAGAGTAAGTGAAACTTCTCTGCTTCTTTTGTTTCCATCTTCTCTGACATGAAGGATGATCTACACAGACTAATAAGGGTAGAAGTAAGAAAAATAATAGGGGAAAATTTAAACCTAATATTGGGGAGGAGATTGTATCGGCGCCTCTGGCTGCTCTGAGTGAGTTCACATCTCAGGTTCAGATTCTGAGAAAATATGTACATGTCATTGCTGAACTGGTCATCTCTGAGTAATTATGATGATAATATCTTTTTAAACTTTTAGAAGGCTGTCGAGGAATAAAGCTCCAAAGTTATAAAAAAGAATGTAGATTCCAGAGATTTTAGTGAGCTTGACCACGCTCTTTTTAATGTGTTGCGGAATCTTGGTTTGCTAATATTTTGTTGAGGATTTTTGCATCTATGTTCATCGGGGATATTGGCCTATAATTTTCTTTCTTTGTAATGTCTTTGTCTGGTTTTGGAATCAGGGTTATGGTGGCCTCATAAAATGAGCTTGGGAGCCTTCCTTCCTCTTAAATTTTTTGGAATAGTTTGAGAAGGATAGGTGTTAATTCTTCTTTGAGTGTTTGGTAAAATTCACCGGTGAAGCCTCGGGTCCAGGCCCAGTCTTTGCTTTTAACAGGGATGCTCCATGTGCAGATTAGGAGGATGCTGCCACTGTGAGAGACCTAAATCCCCATAAGGCCTTTGACATCATCTGTGCCCTCTCTTATTCTTGGGAACATGATGGAGAAGGGACTATAGTATGGGTAGTTAGTGAACAATAGCACTCAGACTTAGTCACTTACTGGCAGCCTCGTAGGAAGTCTCTATGGGCTGCTGTTTCTGACCCTGTTCCACCTGTCAGTGTAACACCTTCTCCCACTGCTCACTCTCAGCAGATAACCTTGCTTGCAGCTCATTTCACGGAGGAAATAGAAGCATCTCCATCTCGGTTCTCCCACTGCCAGATACACTAGTCGCCCTGCCTCTGCACTCATGTGCTCTGTCACCCGTATTTCATTAGATTAGACGAGCCATCCTGTTCTTTCCACTTGCACATTGGCTCCTCTTCCTTTTTGCTTACTCACTGTTGTGAAATTATCTTCTCTCATTCTAGTTTTTCATCCATCTCTCGTCCTCTGCTGGACAAAGATGCTGTACAAACATGCTATAATATTTCAGCTCACACACTATAATATCTTTTTAAACAGTAAAACCCTCTCCTATCCTGTGTCCCCTTCAAGCTACCACCCATTTTGTTGCCTTTCTTTAGGGCAGAAAGTCTTAAAAGAGCTGTCTAAACTCCTTGCCTCCATTTCTCTGCCACTCTTTGCCCCTCCACTGAGACCACTCTTTGACAAGGTATCAGTAACTTCCATGTTGCAAAGTCCGGTGAGTTCCCAGTCCTTGTCTTACTGAATCTCTCAGCAATATTTGACACAGTCAGTCCCTCTTGCCTTTCAGACTTTCTTCACCTTGTTTCTGGGAGGCACCCTCTCCTGATTTTCCTCCTTTCTCATTTGCTCCTGTGCTGGGCCCCCCTCCTCTCCCTGACTCAGGGACGCTAACCCCAGGGCTCAGCCCAAGAGCCCTCATCTTTGCCCCATTTACACTCATTCTCTAGGTCCCCACTGCTCAGTACTCTCGCCACAAGCCCAGCCCTATCAGTGTGGAAAGTTCTACTAGACAGCACTGCTCTAGGCTCTCACACCCATCTAGTCCCACTAAAATACACCTGCATGCTGGTGACTCCCACATTGATTCACCAGTTCCAGCCTCCCCACGTGAACTCCAATTGGTATACCCAACTGCCTCCTTGATATCCTTTACTTGGTCTCTAAGAGACCTGTCAAACTGACCATAGCTAAAATGGAATGTGTTTTCCCTCTCATCCTGCTCTTTGTCACCTTGCCTATCAGTAAGCAGTGCTAGTCTTCAGACAGGTTTAGAAACCTTGTCATCTTTTTAGGGGCTGGGGGCGCTGAGGGCAGGCAGGAAGGAAACTTCTATTCTTAGGGAGAGACTGTTCCAGAGACACTTCTGTTTCCTCTTTCTGCACCTCACTTCAGTCCCTGAAAGCAGGAGTGAGTGGCTTTTCTCACTTGATAGTAATTTTTAACTTCTCTTTTTCTCTTGCACTCAGCATCCAAAGCAGCAGACACACACTTATCTCAGTCCCCTGGAGTGCTCTTTGCCCAGATACCCTCATGGCCCACCTCTTTACTTCCTTCGCATTTTTGCTCAGATATCACCTCTTTTGGCATTCCTCATGCACCCTATCTAGAGTAGCACTCCTAACACTGTCCCCTTACGCTGTTTTACTTTTCCCCATGGCACTTAGTACTGCCTGATGTTACAGTGTTTGCTGTTTGTCTGTCTCTACCCCACGGGACTCTGTGAGGATAGGAATTTTGTTTTTGTTCTATACCCAGTGCCAAAAAAAGTAGCTGGCATGTGGTAATATTCAATAAATATTTGTTGAGTTGAATGACATATTGCTGACATTTCTGATGACATCAGACTAGGAGGCATAGCTAATACATTGTCAGTTTTTTGCTTTTTGTTTTGGCCATTCATGTTTTAAACTTTACCAATCACTGTATTAGAGAAAGTGAAACCTGTTATTTTTCTGAGAGGGTCATTGATATGATTATAGGCATCTTGTTATTATGACTTTCATTTATGGTAAATTTTAAGAATAAAAAATTTCTAGTAATGTTAGCAAGTTTTATTTATTATGGTATTACAACAATTGTTGCATTAGAAGTTGAAAATTATAGTAATGATAAATTTAAAATTTGGTGTTATAGCTATAAAGCGCATAAAGTATTAAGACAGGGTCCCTGGCCTTAAGGAACTCATGACCTAGGGGGTAAGACAACCATCTATAGATAAGTAACTACAGGGTATCCATTTGGTTTGGAAATGTAGTTAGAGGCAAATATATGTAATGCCCTTAAGGACATCTTCAATCTTTTAAAAACTACATTTCCAGACTTTATGGACACCCAATTATTATAGGGTGGTAACAATTAGAATACAGCTGTGTATAAAGAGTGGCAGCCAAGTAAAGGGGCACAGATGATTGTACTGACTGAATTATGATCTTGGATGGAGTGAAACTCCATGGATATCGAAACTGGGCTTTACAAAATACAGAGATAAAGAAACCATTCTAGTTTAAGAGCATTAGAGAAATCCTTCGCTTGGCCTGGAAAAGTCTCTTGATAAGAGAGAAACAGGTGGGTCTTTTGCTGCTAATGGCCATGCTGTGTAAGCTGGAATCATCTTGGCGTTCAAATAGATGGCTCCACCTCGTAGTACAGCTAGAGGGTGCTAGTCGTCAGAGCAGCTAATACTGTACCATCCCTGTGTTCATAATTTGACTGATAATCTCCCCTTCTGTAATTTTAGAGTTAAAAATATATGGATGATTTTGATTTGCTCAGGCGACAGTAGGAACACGTGTGGAAGGTGTATTGAGGTTCCATCCCAGGATTGTCCCATTTGGTTGAGCAAGTTGATGCACTGGCCGCTGGTGCTTGGCGGTGGAGTGGATGAGTGGGGCTGAAATCTAGCCTGTGCTTTGATAGCTGTGTGCCTGATGTGGGGCTGCACCAGCCTGGGGAGAGATGTTTTTCTTAATTCACATGGAGTCCTGTGTAATTTAACAGCAGCTCTGTCCCATTTCCTGCCTCCAATATCCTCAAGTTTCTAGATTAATGTGGGTTATAAGAACTGTTTGCCGCCCCGGCCAGTTGGTTGTAGCATCGTCCATATGCAAAAAAGGTGGTGGGTTCAATCCCCAGCAGGGGCGAGTAAGGGAAGGAACCAATCGATGTTTCCCCTCCCCCACTTCTTTCCCTCCATCTCTCTAAAATTGGTAAACATATCCTCAGGCCCTTGCCCATGTGGCTTAGTGGTTGGAGCATCATCTCCTGCACCATGAGTCATGAGTTTGATTCCCGGTCAGGACACATACCCTGGTTATGGGTTCAATCCCTGGTCAGAGCAGTACTGGAGCTAACCAGTAGCTGTTCCTTTCTCACATGGGTGGTTCTCTTCCTCCCCTTCTCCCTTCGTCTCTCTCTAGAATCAATGGAAAAAGCATACCCTCAGGTGAAGATTGAAAAAAAAGAAAGAAAAAAGAACTGTTTGACTAGATGAAAGGAATTCAAGACAGTTCTGTAGATTTGAGCATTTTGAAGCAGTTGAAGATCATTCTGATTTTAAAATTCATGGTTCAAAGTAAACCTTCATGTTTGTCATATAACTGTAATAACGAAATCTTTTTCATGCCTCTGCCTGGTAAAACTATGGAGAAGAGGAAAACAGGTAACTAAAGAGAAACATCTTGTTGCTGTCCCAGAAGTGGGAATGTATCATTTAGTATTTTACAAATAGCCTTCATTGTACAGTACACAAAAGATGAATTCATTTAAAAAATTCAACAGAGACATGCTTTTTGGTGCTGGTTTATTCATTGGCTTTAGCATATTCTGAGTTCTTATATATCTTCAGTACCTTTCACTCTTACATAAGAGTAACTTACTTGGCTGTCCATGGTATGTAGATGATATTCCACTGCCTCCTGTATTCCAGTGTTAAGAAGACTGATACTGATCTGATCTCCTTCCTTTGTAAGTTAACTGGTGATTTACCTGGAGGTTGTAAGTTAGGCATTGGAAGAGAAGCATTGGGGAGCTACAATCAAGTACCTTGTTCAGATCAAATACATTTTCTAAGACTCCCTCTTTTGAGACTCCCTTCTTGAAGCTCTAGGTGTTTTTAGTATGCTCTTGAGATTCCAAAAATTTATTGCTGTTTCATACATCAGATATGAAGACTGGCCACTGATTTTTATGCCAGACTTTGTTGAAGTTTTTTGTTTCACTATTGCCATTGATATGTCTTTTTTTTTTTTTTTTTTTTTTTTTTTTTTGTAGGTGAAGCTTTATTCTAAGAATATTTGTTTCATACAGTTCATGTGTTCAAATTATACTCTAAATGTTACAGAAGTGTTGAAAGATTGGTAAGTATTTAATGTAGTAGATACTAGCAGTCAAAACACGGTTCAGTCTATGGTTTTGAAACTACATAGTTATTTGACATTAGTTAATGTCAATTAAACTGCAATATAAAAACAAACATTTCTTTAGTAGAGATGGATATGTAAATTGTTATTTATTCATACGATGACATTCTGCACACTGGTTTAAAGTAATGAACATAATGTTGAGAGAGAAAAGCAAAGTTATAAGAGGATACATATAGCATAGCATTTATATANCATAATGTTGAGAGAGAAAAGCAAAGTTATAAGAGGATACATATAGCATACCATTTATATAAATTTTTTAAAAAATATATATCTTTATTGATTTCAGAGAGAGGAAAGGAGAGGGAGAGAGAGAGGTAGAAACATCAATGATGAGAGGGTCATTGATTGAGCCCGCAACTGGGCATGTGCCCTGACTGGGAATCGAACCCCAATCGCCTGGATCCTAGGTTGACGCTCAACTGCTGAGCCACACCTGGCCGGGCTATATAAATTTTTAAAATAATTAAAACTGATGAATATTTTTATGACTATAAACATCAAAAATTATAGACATATGTATGAAAATGATAAACACCAACTAGGGAGGGGAAGAGGTATGGATGGGATGTAGTTTTCCTATACCGTAACGGTTGATTTCTTTATACATACACACCTGCACGCACACACATGCACATGCATGCACATGAATTCACTCTGGATATAGTGTAGTGTTAATACTTCTTGGATCTGAATATTGGCTGTAACCTCATATTATATGTTCTTTGTACTTTTCTGGGTGTTTTAAATATTTTTTAAAAACTTTAAAAAATACTGTGCAATCATCTTTTAAGTTGGAATTCAGATAATTGAAGGGAATTCTGTTAAATGCAACATTCCTATTAGATAAATAGGAAAGAATGAAGATTTTTAAATGTGCAAAACTAAAGTGCTCCCTGTCACCCTTACAAGCACTGTTCTGTTAAGTAATAACTAATGCAGTTAGACAGAGGAGAGTACAATGTGTGAATATTGGACAGGAGAATTCAGAATTTTTGTTATTTGTAGATGATAGGGTTTTACATCTGGAAATTCCAAGAAATCAATAAGAGAGTTTATTAAGAAGTTTAGATGTATGATTACTGTATCAAAATAAATCTACTTCCTGTGTGCCTCCTAAATACCAGTTATCTATCCTAGTTAGACTATTTAATGGAGAACAAAAATCCCATTCAGAATAATGATGAAAACTGTAAAACACCCAGGAATAAACCTAACAAGAAATGTGTAAAATCTGTTACATGAAGTAAAAGCAATTTCTACTTCAAGGAAATAATAGGATAAATATGTAAGTAGTGTAAGGATGTTCATTGCAGCTTTGTTTACAATAAAAAACTAGAAATAACCTAACTATTGACAGTGAGAGATTGGTTGCCTAGTCCTAGTGCATCTGTATAATGAAATATATGTAATGTGTGCAAGCAGCTGTTAAAAGGGAAGAGAACTCATGTGGAAAGATTTCTAAAATATCTACATGAATTAAAGCAGATAATAGATCATTTATATATAACACCCTGTTTGTGTAACAGTATATTTTTTATGTATATTATAAAATCAGGAATACCATACATTCTCCATATTTTATAATACTTTTTACTGACATGGCATCTTTTGCTTTTAGGAAGTAGGATTGAAAATATTTCCTTATTAAAGTGTCATTCATGTTAATTTCCATTATCTTAATTCCTAGAAGATAGGCCCTAATTATTACCACAATTTGTAATTTTCACGTTTAATATTTCTGAAGTTTCGGTGTACCTTGCAATCAGTGGTCTCTTATAAGCACTGTCAGGCTGTACTTGTGAAAGGTTGTTCTTGCCACTCATGAGTAAGCTTGGTCATAGCTGCTCACATCAGCTCTTTACTCGAGTTACGTGCATTGTCAGCACTACCTGAGTTTTACATATTTTCTGGTTGTTCTCTGAAATGTTCTGCTAATCGCATCTGATACCAAGAAAGCACTAGCCCAGCCGGGTGTGGCTCAGCGGTTGAGCATCGACCTAGGATCCAGGAGATCTGGGTTCGATTCCCGGTCAAGGCACATGCCCGGGTTGCCGGCTAGGCAGCCGATCAATGACTCTCTCATCATTGATGTTTCTATCTGTCTCTCTCTCCCTCCTTTTCCCTCTCTGAAATCAATAAAGATATGTTTAAAAAAAAAGAAAAGAAAGAAAGCACTAGCCTCACAACTTACAGAATGATGTCAGCATCTTTGGAAGAAATTTCAAGAACAACATAGTAGTGCTCTTAGGAAGCGGAGCATGGGAAGGTCTTGATGGCCCAGAAGGTGGCATTGCTGGGAAATTCTAAGCGATTAGCAATTACCGTGCTATTGTTTAATTGGCAGTGGGTTTTTTTAGTTGTACACTAAATAATTATGTATCTTAAAATCAGTGACAGATTAAGTGAAATAAGTTAATAAAGTTGGATTAAGCTATTTCACTTCATGAAAACTTATAAAGAACCAATATTATGTAAAATAGAGATTGCTTTTTCTAAACTCCAATAATATTAAAAATTATATTTGATATACTAGAGAAGGGATTGTTATTGTGATAATGCCCAGAATCCTGATGGGAATCCAGGAATTAAGCCATCAGGACCTAGAGTGAATAGAAACAAAGGAGTAGTAGGAATTATTTTTGGTTTCCCCCTTTCCTGTTTACCTACTCTGCATTCAGTTGGTTCATTTTTACCCGGTTGGCTTTTCTCAGCCTCAGCTACCTCAGCATGACCACCACAGGCCCATCTCTATGTGACTTTTCAGCCATTCAGATTCCTATGAGAGAGAAAATGTGGTTGGCCCAGTGCTGCTTTTTTTTTTTTTTTTTAAGGTATCTTTATTAATTTCAGGGAGAGGAAGTGAGAGGGAGAGAGAGAGAGATAGAAACATCAATGATGAGAGAGTCGTTATTGATTGGCTGCCTCCTGCATGCCCCCAACTAGGGATCAAGCCCACAACCGGGCATGTGCCCTCAGCAGGAATTGAACCTCAATCTCCTGGATACCAGGTCAATGTTCAACCGCTGAGCCACGCCTGGCTGGGCCCAATGCCTCTTTGCAACCAGCACCATACAGGTCACATCTTGTGGCCAGCGTGGTGGTTGGCACTCCTGCTCAGGTGTGCTTCAGTCAGTTAGGCCCAGAGGCAGGCTGTGCTTCTTGACAGTTGGCACAGTCTCATGTCCTTCTCACCAGGTCCCACAGAGAGGGCTTCCCCCAAAGTAGGTGAAGAAAAGACTCCTTTTTTAAAAATAATCATAATAATAATTAGTTAATTAATTAAAAAAAAATTTTGTTCAAAATACTACAGATGTCCCTTTTCTCCCCAATGACCCATGTGCTGGTGAGGATGTGGAGAAAGGGGACCCTAGTGCACTGCTGGTGGGAATGCAGACTGGTGCAGCCACTGTGGAAAACAGTATGAAGTTTCCTCAGAAAATTAAAAATGGAGCAGCCTTTTGACCCAGTGATCCCACTTCTAGGAATATATCCTAAGAATCCTGAAACACTAATCAGAAAGAATATATGCACCCCTATATTCATAGCAGCGCAATTTACAATAGCTAAGATCTGGAAACAGCCCAAGAAAAGACTCCTTGATATCCATCTCCCAGGTTTAAAAGTCTTTAAATGTTTTTAAATGCTGAATGTCTCAAAATTACCTGTAACCCTAAGATGAAATTATTTTAAATTCTTTGGGGATTTTATTTTTCATCATTTTTCCTTTGTGAATATTTATACATTTTTTCCTTTATGTTTGTGTTTTCCCATCTTTATCTGCTTTACCTTACGGTTCTTCTTATTCTTGAAATATCAACATTCCCTTTATTTGATTCAAATGTGTAGTAAGAAATAAAGTGGCATTACTTTGGCTGCTAGAATTCTTCAGCTTCTATTCACCAGTGGGTAAATCCTTTCCTCTAATTAACTGAACTCTGGTGTATGGGGAGGGTGGGTAAGTGATTGTCAGTTCCATCGAGTGAAAAAGTTTATATTTTTAAAAGATTCGTTTATCTTTTGAAACATGTAAAGCAAGAATATTTTATAAGTAATGGGATTATTTTTGTTCCATGGTGAGTCTGTTGAAGACAGAAGGTCAGAATTGACCTTCCTAGCCACCACTCACTAGTTAGTGTCCCCTGTTCAGGTGCTTTCGCTTGCCCACGCTTGGTTCTGCTTGGGCATTTCACCCAGGACTCATTTCTGCCAGGCGTGAATATTTAAGGAGCACCTGACTAGGTCAGAGCCTTGTCTGAAAATTTTATAGGGTTAAGTACCAGTGCCCAATAATTTAAAGTCAGTCTTTAGATGAAAACAAACAATAAACCTCATAGTTTTAAATTAAGATTTTTGTTTTTCTAATCTCTTTTGTAATATTTATTTTATAGCTCGGTCATGAGCACTGACAGTAACTCTTTGGCACGTGAATTTCTGACCGATGTCAACCGGCTTTGCAATGCAGTGGTCCAGAGGGTGGAGGCCACGGAGGAGGAGGAGGAGGAGACACACATGGCGGCCCTTGGGCAGTACCTTGTCCATGGCCGAGGATTCCTGTTACTTACGGAGCTAAATTCTATCATCGATCAGGTAACATTTTCATATCAAATAATTGTTTTCTTCAGTATATTGTTAATTTTAGGTACGTAGTTTCTTGGTTGCGTAGTTTCTGAGAGTCTGAGATAAAGTCCTTTCTCTCACATCACTCCACAAAGAAAAGTATCCCCTTTTTAGAACATATGTTTATTTGGATACTTTTCAAAATGTCTGAAATATCTTAGAATTATAAATGGCCTTTCTTCTAAGATGGTTTCATATATACTATGCTTTTATCCTAATAACAGTGCAGGATAACTATGATTATTAATAAAGATACAAGATTACAATTCAGAAACATATGAATTTGCACTTTTAATAAACATCAGGTATGTTTTTGAAACATTTAAATTATATTTAGGGAGCTTTTTTTTTTTTTTTAAATATATCTTTATTATAATTTCAGAGAGAGGAAGGGAGAGGGAGAGAGAGATAGAAACATCAGTGATGAGAGATCGGCTGTAGCTCGCAACCCGGGCATGTGCCCTGACCGGGAATCAAACCCCAATCTCCTGGATCCTAGGTTGGTGCTCAACCACTGAGCCACGCCCGGCTGGGCTAGGGAGCTTGTTAAATGTGGGGTGAAAGTAGAGAACCCTTTGTGGGAACTAATAATTACCGAGTCTTCCAGCTTGTGTACATCTACTTTAGTACATTACTGTGTTTGCTTAAAGTATTGTATGACCATGTGGTATTGTGCTGATTCCTTATTGTAGAATTAATATTTTAAAGCGAGTTGGAGCTATAGAGGTGTTTTCATCCAGCCTGCTTTTATACACGAAAAACTGAGACCAGAAACATCAAGTAACTCAGACAGGGTTAACTTGAGGCCCAAATGTGATTTATATCTTTATTAAGTTTTAATAGAAAACAAATATTTCTTTTATGAAAGAAAAACTCCACCGTCTGCTTCCAGGGAACTAATTAATGTAGTCAGAGAATATTTCAGTTAACATGAATCATAAAGATAATGAGGTCTCTATAGCACCAGAATGATGGACATTTCTAAACACTTTCATTGTTATTGGCATTAGATGTGCACTTATCCATTGTTAAATTTCTTTGATATGACAGCGTATTTCTAATAAATACATACGTTGGGTAAATATAGAGACTAAACTTAAACAATGCCTCTGTTTTCATTGTAAGCTCAGAAACCTAACAATAGGGAAGTGTTTGTTCACTGTCATGCCCACCTAGCATGAAATATTCCAGAATATTTGCAGGTTTATGTAATTCTTTTTCATGAATGTGATTTATTAAATGTGCAACTAAGTGTAATTAAGGTTTTATATATTTGTATGACTTTTCTATAAATAAGTTAAAAATCAGAAAAATTGTTAGACCATGTATAGTGGTTTTTCCTTTTGAAACTTTGATGATTTCATATTTATCTCATACTCTGTTCATCTTACCCCACATTAGAACAATTCAGTGCTTTCTCTTTTTTAAAGATGCTATATAAATAACATCATAAATATAAACTGCCCAGGAACAAATGTCGAGAGAAACTAAAAAAGACCCAAATAAGTTCAGAACTATGTAATTTTCATGTGTTGGAAAAATCAGTATTAAAAAGATACTGTTTTCTCCAAATTGATCTATAGATTCCAAGGCAATCCCAATCAAAATCTCAATGGCTTTTTCTTTCTTTTTTTAAAAAAAATATATCTTTATTGATTTCAGAGAGGGGAAAGGAGAGGGAGAGAGAGACAGACAGAAACATCAATGATGACAGAGTCATTGGGGATTGAGCCCACAGCCCGAGCATGTGCCCTGACCGGGAATTGAACCTCGATCTCCTGGATCCTAGGTCAATGCTCAACCACTGAGCCACGCCTGGCTGGGCTCAATGACTTTTTCTTAATGAGATATAATTCACCTATTTCATATGTACAAAATTCGGTGTTTTTTAGTGTAGTCACAATTTAAGAATATTTTCATCACCTCAGATAGCACCCCTGTGCCTTTCAGCTGTCACTGTCCTATTCCTCCCACCCCCTCAGTCCTAAGCAAACAATCTATTTCTTTTGTTGTTGTTGATATATTTATTTGGCCATCTACAGATTCATTCAACAAACATTTTCTTCTTTTTTTCCCCTCTTTTAGAATATAACACAGTATTCATTTATTTATTTATTTATTTTCTTTATTGTTGAAAGTATTACAGATTTCCTCCCCAGCCCTTGACCCCTTCTTCCCTGAACCCATCCCCTACCCTCCCCCCTGCCCCAGGCCTTCACCATGCTATTGTCTGTTCTGTGTCCATGTGTTATTCATATGTCATATATGCATATAAGTTCTTTGGTTAATCTCCTCCCTACCCCCACCCCTGCCTTCCCTCTGAGATTCGTCAGTCTCATACTTCTATGTCTCTGGAACACTAATGTACTTTTTATCTCTGTGAATTTTCTGCTTTCTCTTTTAAGTCATGAAGTAACTTTTAATATATTATTAAATGACTGCAGTCATTCAAGTCATAATTGAATGGTATGTTTTCTTATGGTGATATTTGTAATCCCCTCTTTTCCCTATCACCTTTTGGAATATCTGTAGCAATGATAGTAGGAACAGTAGAAGCAGAGTGAAATTAATAGCCTTTTGAAAGTAGGGCTTATCAATATTTAATTATTTAAACTAGGGAATGGAGAATGACCATTTGGATCCTTAAGGGGAATTTAATTGCACAAGATGTAATCATTTAAGGTGGAATCAGAATGCTAGATTCCAGGCTGCACATTTCAGGAGGAACTTGAGCTTTGTGTTAGCTTCTCACTAGGGGAACACTTGTTGGGTACTCTGGGAAAGAGACGATTGAAGCCCTTGCCCTTCTACTGCAGTCCTTTGACTTTATCAGTTGCTATTTAAGTAGACTTTATTGACATCTAATTTACATGTAGTAAATGCACAGATGTTACGTGTATATTGGGGTGAGTTTCAACAAATATATTCACCTGTGTAGCCACCACCCACAACAATGTGTAGGACATTTCCACTCTTTAGAAAGTTTGCCAGGCTCCTTTTCAGTCAGACCCTCCGGGCCCCCCTGCAAGATCCCACTGTTCTGATTTCTAGCATCTGAGTGTAAGTTTGCTTGTTCTGGAACTTCATGTAAAGCATGTGCTCTCCTGTCATGGAGATTCTCCCATTTGTGAGAGTCAGCCGCTCACTGCTTTCTGTTTCTGATTGGCGTCTTCTTGTCTGGAAGCACCACAGTTTGTTTACATTCCCCTGCTGTTTAACCATTTGGGTCAGATCCACTTGGCTATTATAACTAAAGCTGCTGTGAATATGTTGTCATTTCTCCTGGGTAAATATCTAGGCCTACAGTTGCTGTGAGAAACTGCCAAACTGTTTTCAAAGTGGTTATGCCACTTCATTCTCACCAGCAGTGTGTGAGAACCCTAAGCTCTTTAATGTCCTCTCTACATCCCCTCCAACCTGCTAATATCTGCGTCCCCTCCAACGTTCGATACTGCCAGTGGTAGCATTCTAAGTGAATAGAAAGTAGCGCTCATTGTGGTTTTAATTTGTATCTCTGACAACTAATGATAGTGAGCACTTTTTCATGTGCTTACTGGCCATTTGCATACTTCTTTTGTAAATATCTGTTCAAGTTTTGTGCCCATTTTTTTCATTTTATTTTTATTTTTATTTTTTTATGGTCCTCACCAGAGAATATTTTTTCCTATTGTTTTTCAGACAGAGTGGAAGGCAGCGGGGGAGAGAGAAAAAAAACATCGATATAAGAGAAACCCATTGATTGGTTGCTTCCCACACATGCCGCAACCAGGGCAGGGGATAGAGCCTGCAACTGAGGTATGTTCCCTTGGCCAGAATCGAACCTGGGACCCTTCAGTCCTCGGACCGATGCCCTAACCACTGAGCCAAATAGGTTAGGGTCCTTTTTTTTTTCATTTTTTAAACAAATAGTGCCCTAGCGGGTTTGGCTCAGTGGTTAGAGTATCAGCCCACGGATTGAAGGGTCTTGGGTTCGATTCCACCAAGGGCAGGCTCAATCCCCGGCCCTGGTCAGGGCACTTGCAGGACACAACCAATCTGTGTGTCTCTCTCACATCATTGTGTGGGTTTTTTTTCTTTCTCTCCCTTCCTGAAAAGCAATAGAAAAAATATCCTCAGGTGAGGATTAAAAAATAATAATAATAATAATAAATAAATAAATAAATAAATAAATAAATAAATAAATAAATAAATAAATAAATAATAAATAAATAAACAAGTAGTTTCTCAGAGAAGGTGAGTATATGAAATCAATACTGATCATTGTACTACACAAGAATATTAATTATGCCATGGGGAGTTACACGGCTATGTTTACATTAATCCAAAACATTAAATATAAACTTGCTATGCTTATGTTATGCATGGCTTTTCTTCTTTCCTTCTCCCTCTCTCTCTTTTTCTTTCTCTCCTTTCTTAAGTTTGGGTTGTGCCCATTTTTAAAGTCAGGTTATGTGTTTATTCAGTTGTGTTAGTTGTTAGTTCTTTATGCATTCTGGGTAAAAGTCTGTGTCGGATTGCGAATATGTTCTTTGTGGCTTGCCTTTTCATTTCTTAACAATGTCTTTAGAAGAGCACATTTTTGAGGGGGGGAATAGTGCTTTTTATATCCTGTCTAAGAAATCTCTGTCTTATAACCCCAGAGTTGTAAAGATATTCTCCATGGTTTTTTTTCTAGGAGATTTTTAGTTATTGCTTTTGCCTTTAGGTCTCTGATCCATTTTGAATTAATATTGGTATATGGTGTGAGGTAGGAGCTATGGTTCCTTTCTGCCCCTCCCTATACACTAACCGGTTCTTTCACCAACATTTCTCCTTAGAAATGCTTTTTTCCCCCCCAGCGAATAACCTTGGCACCTTTGTTGGAAATCAGTTGACCATCTATTTATGAGTTTATGTATTCGTCATGTATTCTTTGACTAACCCCATACTGTCTCGATTACTGTGGCTTTTATAGTAAGTCCAGAAATTAG